CAAACATGAGGTGCAAAAATTTGTACACCATATCCCGATTTCGACAATTAATGTCTCTTCAATGATGTTAGGAATCGAAACGGTATTATATATATATACATATATATATATATATATATATATATATATATATATTGTTTTTTTACTTTATTTATCTATTTCTATTTTTGTCCACTTTCGTCAATATAATTTCAACAAAATGTTGAGGGATGCCGTTGTAACTTTACATGATTAATTACTTAAAAGTGCTGTTATTTTTTAAATTACTATTTTGATTTTAGTTCTTTTTTCTCTTTAATTGTTGAGTGCTAAAATTTACATTATGATACTAAACCATATATGTATCGTCACATATATAATGTCAGGTAAATTTTGATATAAAAACGCTCCTTGGGACAATTATATGGTCACTATTTAATCCAAATATTTTATCAGTAATACATATCATAAAAGTGTTCCTCGACCTAAGAATACTTTGCAGTATAGAATTTTTGAAAATTAGAGAAATATGAAAAGTATATTTTCTTACTATTTAAGGAATATTTTTTAAACAATCATTATTTTACCGTTTAAGCTTTTTTTAATTTTAAATATGACTTCTAGGGGAAATCTAGCTAACTGCCCATGATTTAAATCTTGATCAGAGAGCCGCTTAAGATTACGTCATTTAGAACTGATTATGACAGTTCTAAGCTCTGCTTGAATTCTATAAATATATCCTCCAGAACTAGAATTTAAAGAAACAACAGACATGGCTTCCTCCGCCTCATTTTTAGACTTATACCTCGAATTTGACATAAGCGGTCATCTCAGTACCATAATCTATGATTGGTTCCACTAGTATATCTTCCAGAACTAGAATTAAAGAAACAACAGACACGACTTCCTCCGCCTCATTTTTAGAATTATACCTCGACTTTGACATGAGTTGGTTTTCCTGTTTGAATTGTTTTACACTAGACTTTTTTGGGGCCCTTTATAGCTTGCTGTTCGAGATGAGCCAAGGCTCCGTGTTGAAGGCCGTACTTTGACCTATAATTGTTCACTTTTTCCACATTTTGACTTGGATGGAGAGTTGTCTCATTGGCACTCATACTACATCTTCTTATTTCTATATAAGCGGTCATCTTAGTACCAGAATCTATGACAAACGAGACGATTTTAATTTTGAAATTATAAATTTCCCCCACCTTAGCAGCAATATACCAACTTCACCTGCATATGGGATATACATTTCCAAACTCATTCGATATTCAAGAGCTTGCAACTACTACTCACATTTTATAAAACGTCACCAGTGTCTGAGCAGAAAGTTGATGAACCAGGGTTATGTCAAAGAACGTCTCGTCCTTTTTCTAAAAAAAATCATCGGTAGATACCAAGACCTTGTTGATAAATATTCAGTATCAACTTCACAAATAATACACGATGGTCTTGAAGTATAGATTCTACTTACTGACGTTGTTTATCATCTTAATTACGTGTTATTGTGTTCTTTGTATTTGTGTCTGTAGATTTTTACCCTTTACCGTTTAGTCCATTTTTGGTAATATCCTTTTGGCGTGGCTCGGTATTTATACATACCGCCATTGTGTTATTTTGCTATGGTCATATTTTGTTTGCTTGTCTTTCATTTTTGTTTATGTACTTTGTCTATAGAGTGTCTACATGCTATTTGTTTTTCTTTGTTGACATAGTTGTTTGTTTTTATAGTAATTAAATTAATAACACAATGTTGACTGCTGTACCCCAATTTTTGACATTTTACCTATTAAGTCTGTTTGTTTTGCTCACACATTGTTGTCAATATAATGGAATTCTACTCTACTGTCATACACGTGAGAGGTTTAACTAGCTATAAAACCAGATTTAATCCACCATTTTCTACACAAGGGACTTTCCGTTTTGAATTTGCCTTTGACTTCGGTATTTTTGTTATTCTACTTTTTTCTACCCTTGGAGAATTTCAATTTTAAAAAAAGTTTTAAAGTGTACTAAGAACATTTTTTTGATAGATCATTCTGACTGCTTTAAAGATTGGCTAAAACTAATCTTAACTCTTTAACAAACAAAATATTTTATACAACATCAAGCCTCCAAGGTATAAATCTGCATTTGAAATCAATATAGTAGTATATACATCTGTAGCTTGTGACATATTTTCAGATATTGTAAAGGTGATCGTTTTTGATATTTAAAGATTTTTCTGTATCTTTTCTATTTTCCATCAACGCAAACATTTATAAATATTCATTTAAAAGGGGTTCGAGTGCTTCAGGTGTCAGACCACTAATTCAAAGTCCCTATCTATTCAATCAATTCTTTCAATTTCCACGGCTTCCTAAATATTTTACCTTAAGTTTTACTTCATAGAAACAAAGTATATCCTGAATTGTACATGTATCACCTTTCTACATGCCAATTTTCAACCAATGTTTAAAGTTTTGTAGCGAAAAGCTACCGTTCGGCAGGCAACTGCTACTAAAAATAACCCCTGGTTTTCTGGAAATCTTAAATATGATACTATGGAGCGCAATTATCCTCAATTTTTAATGCAAACTGAGGACAAGTAAATTTTAGCTCAAATTGGTCAAAATATATTTCTCTTTCACCAAAAGTTTCATTTCTGCAAATGTTTTTGGTATTCAAGTACTCAATGACATCAAAAGCACTATATTTTGTCAGGGAAGGTCTACTTTTACATGCGTTCTAAATTGGAGTGGGTGAATTGATGGTCTGACACTTTCAGCCATCTTTGATTGCGGAATAGTAGAAAACAATAGGTCTAGATCTTTAATGAAATATGCACATTTTAAGAATGGAATGTAGTTTTTGTATTAAGACTTTCTTCTAAACAGAGAAAAATATGTGTTTTATCTTAAAACGACTGTTTTTACGAAAAACAAAATATGTTTGCTTGATTAAATTTTTGAAACTACGCCATACAAGGAGAGATAATTCAGGTAATCTAATTTTATAATTATATCTTATTTTCTTGTCGCAAGAAAACGAGTCTTATGATCCCATTTGTTTTACTTTATGAAAGCACATTATGAGAGCTAACTTCACATATTTTATATAAACGTTCTGTCGTTCAGTTTTCTTTCTATTCACACAAAATTGGTATATCCATGTACGACTATTGTACACAGCTTGCAGCTTAAAAAAAATTTGAGTTACCTATACTTTTTATCAAATTCATAGCATGTTAATATTTAGTTTGAGCATTCCTGATAAAGGTAAATTCAGAAAAGCGCTTCGGACGCATGCAATTTATAAAGTGTTGTAATATGCTATTCACTACATTTTGGCAAAGAGTGGAAACATTTCATCTTTTCTATTTTAGACACCCTTCTACCTTAACGGCAACAACTTCTATAATGAATCAACTGTCAAAATTTGAACCGTTTCACTTATAGTAGATCTTGTCTTGCTGACCGTTTCTTCTTTTCAAAGTTCCCCTCTGTCTACCAAATTTTTGCCAAAAACTAAAAAAGTAAATTTAAACCGCCGATGAAGGACAAAAGTCATAAGGAGTCGGATGACGATTTCATCAATGTGACCTATCACATACCTTATTTAGGTTGGTTTTCATGGAAAAAGCCAAAACGCAAAATTAGTAAAATCGTTATTGTAGGGCAATTATTCTTATCAGCTGTCGACGTATTTTGACAGTAATTTTACAGAAAATGACCGTAACAATGACATTTCATGTCAACAGAAGTGATCATTGAAGGGTTATAACTTACCATTAAAACTAGTCCAATATCGATCCCCATTTAAACAAATTATTTTTTTTACATATCCATTGGCAAATATTATATGCAAATTCATGCCAGTACCAAATTAAAGACTAATACTAGTAGTCTGTTGTTATTTATGTATTATTGTCATTTTGTTTATTTTCTTTTGTTTCCTATTCTGAAATCGGACTCGGACTTCTCTTATACTGAGTTTTACTGTGCGTAATGTTGTGCGTTTGTTTTTTCTACATTGGCTAGAGGTATAGGGGAGGGTTGGTATCTCAAAAAACATGTTTAACCCCGCCTCATTTTTGCGCCTGTCCCAAGTCAGGAGCCTCTGGCCTTTGTAAGTCTTGTATCATTTTTAATTTTAGTTTCCTGTGTATAATTTGGAGTTTAGTATGACGTCCATTATCACTGAACTAGTATACATATTTGTTTAGGGGCCAGCTGAAGGACGCCTCCGGGTGCGGGAGTTTCTCGCTGCATTGAAGACCCATTGGTGGCCTTCGGCTGTTGTCTGTTCTATGGTCGGGTTGTTGTCTCTTTGACACATTCCCCATTTCCATTCTCAATTTTAAATGTCGACAGAGATGAAGGGCGGGAAATAAGAACTGCCACTGTGAAATGAGGTTTTGTTGGATAAAGACAGAGATTTTTACTTGCAAAATGCAACCTACGTAACCCTCGGAGAGTTGTCGCAAAGATTCTTTGAAATGCTGAGAGCATGGCATTCTCCCAATACGGGGCATTATAGTTAACGTCCCCATTTCGACCGGACGTGGCTGTGTATTTATATATCCATCAAATACAAACGGTAGCCCTATTTAGCAATGGTTTACTGTCGGACGAATTAGTCGTCCAGGAATGACCATATATCTATACCCCAGTCAACCTTGGAGTTGAATAAATATAGATTATATCACTGCATCGAGTGTGATACGATATGTCTCCACTCGAAACAGTTACATATTCAAATTAAAGGCTTGTAGAGCGTTAGGAATATTTAAAATTTAACTATCAAGAATACATACAGGGCCTTTTTAAAGCTTACTATGCGATATCGGTTTAGACAATTGTTAATCGCGTTTGAAAAATATTTTAAACTTGGGTGATTTTGAGCTTTATACATATATATAAACATTTTTTCTAAAGATCTGTTTTGACCTCTGGATGTCTTTTAGTGTTTTTTATTGTTGAGTTGATGTCTCATTGATGCTTAAACCACAGTTAATCTTTATCAGATCAATCCGTATATATGTGTTGCAGCATTAAATTTTGCTTGTCAATAAATTTTATTTCTTTGCTGTAAAATGTCTCTTTTCAATTAAACTATTACATTTAACTTGTATTTCTCTCACAGTTTTCATTCCGTTTTACGAGTCTTGAACTCCTTTATTTTCCTGCTGCAATTCTACTCTAAAATGAGAGCAAATATTTGTTTATTAAATACTCAATCTCTTTCCCATACAAAATATCTGAAATAAACTTTCTACGCATGCTATTGGTTGAATAAATTTAATAAACCCACCAGTTTCCAATTTCAATAAATTATAAAAACAAACCAATTTGTCCAAGATCTAACAAAACCATAAATTAATGATATCTATTGGGGACAATAATGGTCCTCTAACCAAACAGTGGTAAAAATGTTACTAACGGTAACTTAGCAATACACACAGTTATGTATGAGGTGTGTTCACGTTTCTCCAACATTTGATAATTAGACTAGAACAACATTTAGGATTAGGGGGTCCTCTTAAGGACTGACATCTTGATATTAACCTGTAATTCACCTGTTCTTAACTAAAATGTTGTTAAAAGGGGTATTTTTTTAAAAATGTATTGTAAAATATTAACAAAACATATAATTTTTACAATAATTGATTTTTCATATAAATATTTTTTTTTAAATACTTTCCCAAGATTTTAAAAGTCGATATAATATAGCAAAGTGATGTTACTTTGTTTTCATATTTTTTCTGATATATAGATAGATCTTTATTCTCATTAACTAAATAACATAGTTACAGAGATGAAAATATAAACAAAATACAACATATTTTGCATGTGTGAAATATACATAAATAAATGTAATTTAACCAGGAGGACAGACTTTCACAGATATATAGTTTATAAATCTACACAATTTTTCTAGTAAGACAATATTGACTGTAGTGAATACATTTTTAAATTTAAAAATATTAATATTTGTACAACAATAGTGTGGTAAATATTTATATCGTTCTTTTTTGAAAAAAGGACAAGACATTACATAATGGAATTCATCACCGATGTCAGTAGATTCACAAAGGTGGCATAGTCTCTGTATTTTCCATTATGATGTATTATTGATTACAATGTTGCGATCTTGAATAAAAATAAACATTTTATATTCTGGGAGCTTTTAAGAATTTATTATAGGATGAGTCATTAAGCTTATATAAAAGTATCAAACGCTGCTTATTATCAAAGATGTAGTATATTTAAATTCTTTGTCAGCTTGCATTAATTGTCCAAAGCTTACGTGACAAATCGAGAATACTTGTAGCTCACAATTCAACAAGCCAGTTCCCACAGTTAAACACCCTACAGTTCACGTCGTGATGTACCCAATTTGTATTCTCCCTTTTTCGTGGAAAAAGTGAACAGATATACAACTGACTCTTCCATTTGCTTAAGACAGCATGCCGAGAACATTGACTCCGGCTCTTATGATAAACAGACAGAACGACCAGGTAGACGATATATAGTTCTTCGCACTAGAAGACAACAGCTTTCGATGACTATATACGTACATAAAACTTCGTTTTTGCGCATCGTTTTAGATTTGGATAACTACAAAAACATATCAAGTAATAGGATAAAAATAATTACGTAACATTTCTGGTTATATTCAACCAAAAATATATGAAAAACCAATTATTGTAAAAAAAATTAATTTTTTTGTTAATGTCTTAATAAATATGATTTTAAAACAATCCCCCTTTTTACAATATTATAGTTAAGAAAATTTACAGGTGAATCACAGGTAAATATCAAGATGCAGCTCCTTAATTGGACCCCCTAATCCTTAATGTTGTTTTGTCTAATTATCAAATGTTGGAGAAACGTGAATAAACCATGTATGATAAGATAATTTTTCTTTAAAATACCGGCAGACTGATGCTATTAATAATGTGTTTAAAACAAAACAAATATTGAGAGTGGATTTAAAGGAGTGATTTTTAAAAACTTTTGTCATGCAATTGTTAAAAAGGCTGGTGAAGATAACATTGATGGAGTTATTGATCTAGCATAACAAAGTTCAAACATAGTAGATATAACAATACTGTTGATAAAATACTTACCAAGCAACTATTGCATGAGCAATGTGAATTGATGCAAGATCCTTTTGCTTCACAACCATCTAGCATACCTAAACAACAACCTTTACATCCGCTATCATCGAGGTTTCCATTAGAACAGAATGTGCTTGTACATGTCGAATGGGGTTCTTTTATGGCTAACAAATAAAATATATTAATTGCAATTAAAAGTATCAGCGGCTTACATGCATATATACTTTTATTTTGGCATTGCACAATTCATTTCTTCTTTGGCTGTCCATGGAGTTAAATCACTAAATCACTGGGATGTGTTTTAATTGATTTTAGTCTCTAATGCATGATTTTTTATTATTAAGTATTTAGTACGACGATAAATTTTCACTTCTGTACTCGTACTGTGAACAACAAATTAATTTTTTTTTGTAAAAAAATGTTGCCATACTCCTAACAACAAAATTATTATATTAAAATTTACCTGTGTACGTTATTTTATTTAACGCCAGTTTGTCCCAGTTAGAGTTATCTTTTTGACATTGTTCCTACAACTTTTTCATTAATTTTTTTTCCATATTGTGTCATAGATCAAACTTATTCGTTAAGTGTATGTTTACTTGTTTTTGTTTACATGTCTTTTTGATCGAGTTAAGCCATTTCAATTGATATTTTATAGTGTGTCTTTTTATGTTGTAATGTTACACTACTGTTTCCGGTTAGGGTGAAGGTTGGCGCCTGTTGAAACGTTTAAACCCGCTGCATTTGTATGCACCAGTCCTAAGTCAGGAGCTTGTTCAGTGGTTGTCGTTTGTTGGTTTGGTTCATAAGTGTTTCACGTTTCTCGTTTTTTATATAGATTAGACCGTTGGTTTTCCTTGTTTTCCACTAGTCATTTTTGGGCCCTTTATAGCTTGCTGTTCGGTGTGAGCTAAGGCGTACTTTGACCTATAATTGTTACCTTTTATACATTGAGACTTGAATGGAGAGTTGTCTCATTCACTCATACCACGTTTTCTTATGTATATATCTAAAATTTTCGAAAGGAAACACCATTGAAGACTTAGAAAATGTGGTTTACTGAATGAAAATGCTAATATCTGCAAGGTGCATTACGTAAAAATAGAGAGAGAAGATTTCAAGTACAACAAACAGACAAATCAATGGATAAAATTAAATATAAGGAAAGGACAAATATCGATTACAAAATTTTACGCAAACATTGTATTTAAGGTGTCAGACCACCAATTCAAAGTTCCTATCTATCCAACTAATTTAGCAATTTTTCTCAGCTTTCTAAATATTTGACATTCAGTTTAACTTCATAGAAACCAGGTATATCCTATACTGTACATGTATCACCTTTCTTCATGTCAGTTTTCAACCAATGTTTAAAGTCTTGGAATGAAATAATATTGTTCGGAAGTCAAGTTCTACTACAAATAATCCCTGTTTTTTTCTGGAAATCTTTAATAAGTATTCTTTGGAGCGCATTAATCTTCAATTTTAATGTTCGCTTTAAATGGTCTACATATATTTCTCTTTCACCAAAAGTTTCATTTCTGCAAATTTGTTTGTTAGTTTAAGTAAACGATGACATCAAAGTACTATTTTTTGTCAGGGAAGGGCTACTTTTACATACGTTCTAAATTGAAGTAGGTGAATTAGTGGTCTGACACCTTAAATAACACGGACCTTATCATAAACTGGAGGAACCTAGGTCTATTAGAGGGATACGTAGTTCCTGTTCAATATGGTGTACTCGTGTTCCTCGTTCAAGTGAAAATACGGTGCTAATCCGCATTCGGTTGATGTTAAAATTTAGGAAATTAGAACGAGATTTTTGTTTCGATTAAAGAAACATATCCGTTGTCATCTGTGACAAAGATATTCCATAGCAGTCAACCAAATCATGATTACGTCCGTTAAAATTTCGGAGGGATCAGTTCAACTTTACCACTTGGAACCCTAGATGCAATATCTTCCTTGTAAGTAGTAACACTTTTATCAAGGAAATCATGATAGAAATCACAAGCTCTGGAATATCGTACCAGCTGGGAGACATATATTCCATATGTGAGCACTGCCTGCCTTGTCGTTAGTCGAATCTTTTCCCTTTCTAAATGCAAGTCTAGATATAAGGCAGACAAAGCTATATCACGGTGTCCTTTATTTCAAATTCCTTTTGATAGATGCAGTAGATAGAGTTATGAGGACCTTCTCTTGCTTATAGACAAGTTCCAGCATTTGATGATGGTTAAAGAATAACTTAGAATATGGGACAATTAAGGTGACAATACCAACCACTAAAACACGACTCATACCAGACAAAAAAATGTACAAACGAAAAGAACGAGAAACCCATTGTCGTAATAGCCAAACTTGGTAAATTCACATAATGTAGTGAGACTGAAGAAGTTGTACGTGCACAGTAACCTATCCATTTGTTTTCAGTCAACGTCAAATGTTGTAAAAGTATAACACACAATATAAATCTACACTTTATAACAATGCACAAAGCTCGTGTCGTATATTAGCTATTAAAGATTCGGGATAACAAAATCTAAACAAATTCAAAAGTGAAGAAACAACTGCCTGATTTAAGCTTACAACATTAAACGATTAACAAATATGACAGACAGTAACCAACGACAACCACCAGATTACAGGTCTCTTGCTTTATATTTTATGATGTTTCTTTTGTAAGTCTAGTTGGACATTGTGTTATGTCTTATCGTTTTTGGTTTGAATTCTATATTTATTTTCTATATGTATGTAAAAGTTAAGATAATTAATCAGCTAGTTCATTTATATGGTCTTTAGTTTAAAGAAACTATATGCACAGGATTTTTTTGATTTTACACAGTTTTGATTAAGAAGAAAAACTCACATGGTTAGAAAATATAAATAATTACACCATTACTAACACAATTCTATATTAATATTCTTTTATTGGTTAGAAAATACCTAAAATAACACCATTACAAACTAAATCCCAATTTTATATTCTATTTTTAGATATTTACCTGTGACGTCACTTTTTGTGGGCGTTGATACATTCGTGTGACGCATAGTTCAAAATTGTATTGTGGTGTACTGGTGAAAGGGAGGTGTCTGTTGTTATTCTGTGGTTTACATGTTGTAATGTACTATTATATTATTTATTTATGTATTTTTCTGTCCTGAGTGTTCTTGCGTTTATTTATACTGTATTCCTGTCACGTAATGTTGTCATTTTAGCGGTATTTTTAACATTGTCATATGAGCGGGAGGTTTGGCTAGCCATAAAACCAGGTTTAACCCATCATGTTTTCTTAACATGTCCTGTAACAAGTCAGGAATATGGCAGTTGTTATCAAATAATCCGTTTTTGTGTAAGTTGGCGCTTGTTTTTTGCAGCAATTCAGTGTTTCTGTTGTTCCGTTGTTTTCCTCTTATAGTTGATGTGTTTCCCTCGGGTTTAGTTTGTGACTCGGATTTGTTTTTACTTAATCGATTTATGACTATTGAACAGTGGTATACTACTGTTGCCTTTATTTATACAAGCACATACAGTATGTGGCGGGATTCAACATTTTTATAGAAATAAACGTAAATAAAACAGGAGTAAATGTGACAGAAATACGGATGAATCAATCTTATAATTGCCAAAGGTTTTCATTGCATATAATTGTTTTACCTACGCTGTTTAATTGGGCACCATTGAGATACTCCAATAAATTGGTATATCGTTTATTTTAAAGTTGATTTGACGAATTATGAAAACATCGGAAACAAAACTAATGCGTAGTGTTGCTCATTTATTTATTTATCATCTAGATATTCATTTAGTGTTTAATGTTTATGGCTGTTTAAAAACAATAACCACATCATGTATTATGAAATTATGAACTACTTTCTCTCGAAAGTAAACACGGTTTTACATTGTGAAATCTTTTTTTATTGAATTTTAAATGTATAAACACATTCATCCGACTCTTTCAGGATAATATATTGAAAAACAAACAGTAGAAAATACAAAACGACACATATTAAATTGCCTAAAGCTATCCTATTACAACTATTAAACAGACCTTCAATCTGTCGATTTAATAAGACCCTTTGCTATGCTTTAGGTATATGGTTGGGTTTTTTATATGTAGGTCCCTTTACGTCATATACCTCATTACGTGTTTTGGTACTTTAATATCCTTTGCGTTCCTAATGAAGGTAAATACAGACAAGCGTTTCGGACGCAAACAATTCATAAAGTGTTATATTGATATTTTTTGTATACTTCTATGAATGAATTTCTCGTGTGGAATAACTGCGACCCTCTAATAACAGATTTCTTCTATTGCTGTTAGGAAAAAACATTTATCCTTTTTTTACAGATAAAGCATCAAACAACACTGTTTTATATGCAAAAATCATAACCGGACCGTGTCGCTATTTAACTTTAAATTAACAGCAAAAGTGTAAATCCAACATACATTTACCCCAACATTAAATGCGGAAGAGGATGTTTTTAAAAACCACGAATCTTTCCTTCTGTCTTTTGTTTTTTAACATAAAAAAGGAAGAGGAAAATCTCTCATTTCTATATTGCATACCTAAATTACACAAATATCATAAATATAAATAACATTAAATTACCGGATCGTAAAGATCTTCAACTAATTTTTTTAAAAAGTTTTACCACCATTCTTTCTATGTTAAAAGATAGCCCTTCGAAATGGTGTAATGAAGTTTATTCAACCAGCGATATCAATAAGATATCGAGTTTTATGAGATCTAAAGATCTACTCCAAAATTATTACTATTCCCCATGCACAGTTTAAAGATCGACAACATCGTCTCATTAAAATACTTTTTCTACCAAAAAAAAAGGAAACCTAGATACAAATGTCATTTTTGGTCATGAAAATTCCTACTTTGTAAAGAACCACACTGATTCACACAAAAAGTACACCGCAGATGATATAAGCAAATTGCTTGACTTATTTTGACGATAACATATTTGTTAAGTTTGATGAACTGATATTTCAACAAACAGTCAATATTCCTATATGAATTAACTGTGCAAAAGTTATGACCGATTTCTTTTTGTACTCATATAAAGCAGACTTCATACAAAATATTGTTAGAGAAAAACAAGAAAAATTAAACATCTTGCAAAATTCTTTTGTTTCACTTTCAGATATATGGAGGATGTCCTATTACTCAATAACCCATATTTCAGTTGGTGTTTGCATCTCATATATTCCAGTGGATACTGGAACTAGAATATCTGCTTCAAACATTGATCTTTTCCTTGATATTGACACAGATGGGCGACTTCAAACTAGAAATATTGAAACATGCGTTTCCAATTGTCAAGTTCCATTTATTCAGCGGTAGAATACTATTTGCTAATGTATGGTGTTTACATATATAAGTCGATACGTTACGCACATGTATGTTTATGGTCTACAGACTTCATTAGCAGGGGTATGCTCTGTACACAACAACTGCTCCAGCAGAGTTATGAGAAAGAATGACTGAAATCGACACACACAAGTTTTAAGATCAAGGTCAAGAAATCGTTGACCGATACTATTCATGTGTATTTCAATTCACTAGCGACATTTTTTCGTAGTGTTAGATTCTTACATACCAGAATAGTTGTCTAGTCTATTATTTTACAGGCTGTGTTCTATTCCAAAATGTTACATATTAATTGAGTGTGGATTAGTACGACGGGTGATGAATGCATAGCAGAAGGTGCTTATCTTGTCGATGTGCCCGTTCTCACTAGTACTATTAGAGTTCATGTTATTCCATCACAATTTGTTTGTTACTTTGTTTTATCTTCTTCGTCGATTTATGAAAATTTAATATATGTTAACTTCTGTTGATTAAATTGGGTACGAAAGACCGATAGAGCCATTCTGTTTTTAAAAAATTTCAGTTCCAACTTGTTATTCCAATTCGATGTTGACATTTCTCACTTCCAATTTGACATTTCTAACCCTCAAACTTGTCATTTTTTATTTCAAACTCTACATTTCTCAATTCTTATTTTACATTTCTAACTTGAAATGTCAACATAGAAATGAAAAATATCAACTTCGAACTGAGAAATATCAACTTCGAACTGAGAAATATCAACTTCGAACTGAGAAATGTCAACTTCAAACTGAGAAATGTCAACTTTAACTTAGAAATTTCAATTTAGAAGTAAATAATGTTTAAATGGAAATGAGAAATTTTAAAAATAGAATATCCTACCAGTCGTTCATATCATTGGGTCATATATCAAAAGGTTCAATAAAGTGTCTTACAAGTACATCCATTACAATGACAGCCAGTTACTCCATTTTTTGCACTGCATTTTCCACCAGAACTACATCCAATACCAATACAACATCCATTACAAGCAGCGCTGTCTTTAGTGCCAGAACAGAAGTTGTCAGTACATATCCCTTGAATGGACTTCTTTACAACTAATCGAAGATAAAACTAACATTTCACTTATTCACTTAAAGGGCATATACTCATTGAAATGGTTATTCCTGTATCTGTAAAAATATTGCGTAGAAACTATGTCATTTTTTTTTTTAATATTTTCAATTCTTCTTTGAATTTTTTTTCAGCATTTTGTTCTTCTAGTTTTCAGGGTAAAACCGTTCCAAAAATCAAGTAGAGATTGGTACATTTTATGAAAAGAAACTATGGCTTAAAATGAAGATTTATTAATGTTATGCCATAGAAGTGCCATGTAGCATCAAACAGTTACAATATGTTTCGCTGTGTTATTTCAGATTTTTATCCATATGGACAACTTTGGGCAATAAAATTCATTTAAGATACTAATTAGTAGCATAAAATAATATAGCATTACAAAGGATTTACTTGAACATGTCATCTTTTCACAGTTCTAATTTTTATATCAATACCCAACATAGATCCCCTCTATTCGAACGCAGCATTGTGAGGCAGGTTTACTGGAAAATGTGACGAAAACCACCAGACTTGATTTTAATATAACCTTTTGAACAGGAATTGAAGTATCTGATTTTGACCAAGTTTTGTTGCAAGAAGGGCCATTTCCACGCCTATTCTTTAAAATTTTTTTATGGAAAAAGAATGCAGCGGGTACAAAAACAAGAAATGTTTACTTCACATTATAAAGCATTTGAATATTTCGATAATATCAAGTCCGGAAATTTTGTTTTCCGTTTAATTCTTGCATTTTGGTGATATAATTTCAAAAATTGCAATAACGTTGGTACACAACTTCAAATGTACCAACCAAACAATGATACAATTATAGTTTGTACTGCAAGCAATATTCACCAACATTTAAGATTTCAATATCCCATTTAGTGGAACACTATCAATCGATTTTTTTCATAGTGTTGCCAACAACAACGTGTGAATAATTTTTTTTTTGTCAATGTCGGAATCATGAATCATTTAAATTTAATACTGCTTAATAAGCACCAAAGGTATGTAACATATGGAATCATTTATGAAAATGTGTTTTCTTACCTACTGCAAAAACAACAAAAACAAAAAGAACGACTGTATTATTCATATTGAGAAGTTTCTGAAATATAAGAATTACGGTTATAAAATGTATATTTTATTTCGCACGACCATTGTAATTGTAACAATTAGCGTCCATAAGCAACCCAGTAGTGCCCAGTAAAAGCTCCCATATTGACATGAAATATCATTGATGTGGTCATTTTCTGGAAACATACTTTTCATAACATATTAAAAGGATTCGAAACACACGCACAGATAGTGTAAGTTAAATTTGGCATAACTTTTGGGGATGTTTTAGTTCTGAATGCTTTTTATTTTCGGAATTCATTTTGACCTCCAAGCTGTTGGATTCAAGTGCCACTGATGAATCTTGAATAGACGAAATGACAATCTGACATACAAATTTATAAGCCTGGTAACATGGAGAGTTTTTGTCTGTAACAATTTTTGTATGTCGTATGTTTCAAATTTGATATCTTTTCAATAGTATTTTGTCTGTGGTGTTTAAATGGATTTTCATAAAACATTAGAATAATATTGTTTTAAAGATTTGTAACAAATTATCTTTGTTTTTGTTACTTAAAAAACGATTTAAAGAGAATTAAGCATAATCTGACCGACCTTGTAATATTGTCAAATACTTGTAATTTGTAAATGTCTTATTTGTATGGGTCATATATATTTCAAATGTATTCATAACTTTTCATAGGAAAACCATAAAACTCTAACTTTCTGTTGATACAGTCTTTTTTCTTTTTTTTTGTTGTTTTTTTGTTTGTTTGTTTTTTTAACACAAATTAATAAATAGTATTGCACCTTTATTGGTAACAATTTACTTAATCTTCAGCTTTAATTAAGTGTCCATACATATTAATTATTGAATATATAAGGGAAATATTCAATAAGGTAGATCTATAAAGTTAGATATATTTGTGCATGAAAACAGTTTTACATGTTCAAATGTTTACCGGAATACGGTACATTCCCTCACCTATATTGTATATAAAGTTAATAAAGCTTCACTTGTGTGAAATTGATGATGGTATTTTCGTAGCATGACTATTTACATTTTTGGATTTGTCAATAGACTCCAGTTTATAAATATACGTATAGTGTATCTTTCAATTACCAGAAAAAATAGTTTTTTCAACCTAATGTTATCGAAAAAATGATTTTTACAGCATAGTACATGTATAATATAAAAATAAGAAGATGTCGTATAATTGCCAATGAGACAACTCTCCACAGGAGACCAAAATGACACAGAAATTAACAACTATAGGTCACCGTACGGCCTTAAACAAGTTCTTATTATTATATTGGTATAATAGTTGTGTAACAAATTCATTGTTACATGTAGTAAGAAGGCACAGAAACCGAATTTTACCCTTGTATTTAATGAAATGGAAAGATAAGGCATGACTTTTATTTTAATATCTTTGGTTTTATTTCTCAATGCTCTTCAGGTTGCAATTCTGTAAATATAGACAAGGCAATTTCCCATAGGAACTCTTTATACGGCTAAAACTGTACCACTTTTACTAGGAATTTTCCCCAAAAGAAACACCTGTATTTATAAAGTGCAATGTATATTAACATTTATTTAAATATAAAAATCTTGAAAAACACTTTTTCTCACAACAATAGTTATTTATCAGAATCATAGCCTAAAAGAAACCACTGCATATGCTTTAACTTTTCTTTTACAGTACATTTTTATACCCCCATCTCTGTTTCAAGAATTTGAAAACAGGACTTTAATTTATGTCAGCTTACCCTATGTGCATGTTTTCTGACATGAAATGCCTAGAACCTGTATGAAACTATTCTGATAACAAATTGAAACCATTTCAGAATACTATAAATGTTAAGTTTTGTAGTTTTAAATCATTACAACATTCAAGATTATATAAAGTGTCCAATCCTGCTTCTGTCTCCAGTACACATCTTACTGTATGCCTATTTATCTATAAAAGTTCACAATTTCTGCCTCAAATGGTCAGTTTAGAAATCTTGTCACAATAATATTATCTCTTACTATATACCTTACATAATTTGGCTAATATATGACTAGAAGTGTTTAGATAAAGCAATATTTGCAAAATTTGTATATATGAATTAACCAGTCTGATATATGAATTCACTAAAAGTTTTATAGAACTGAGTGATGGAATCTGTTTTTTTTTGCATAAATTAAAAGCACAGGTATTGTTTTCTATACTAAAGACCTTTATAAAAATAAAAAAAAATAGCCTTCATAGGCTAAATTATATGTTTTATGACCCAGGGGCTAGGGATTTTTAAAATAAAACACACTATTGTTAGTTTTATTGAGGTATTTTTGTATCTCTAGCTTGTATTTTTTTATGCCGCGGTCACAAGAAAGCACATTCAGGTGTAACGGCTTACTTTTGGATTTTCGAAGGACAAAAACACCCCAACAACAATATTTATCAATGATCTATGAGTTTCAATGACTGCGAAGAGTAAATATAAGTCATCATAGTTAAGACCCAGGATTTTCTCAATCTTCATGAATTATTTATAAAACTTTATATTTGAGTTAATTTCATTAAGATTCTGGAGATAAACTAGATTTGGTGAAATTCTAATGCAATTTCCCATAGGAACTCCTTTTATGACTAAAACTGTACCACTTTTACTAGGAAGTTTCGTAAAAATTTATATCCTAGAATGGAAAGCTCATATGCACTACTATTTTTTTGATAGGTCAAAATATAGGGCTATGCGGAATATTATCAAGATTTATATGCCCCGAACTTCTTAAAGTTGAAACTTATACTAAAATTCTGTACTAACACTCCCTTCACTTTGGTTTTTCCACAGATTTCAATTTGACCGCTTTTCATGTGTATTAATACTGGTACCATTCCCAAGTTATGTTTCTATGAGATGAAACAAAGAGATCATATCTTGGAACCAGTAGGTAAACAAAGCAAAATATCTATGAATATCATATATCTCCCCAAAAGAGGCGTGGTTTGTGAAACAGTTGTATTTACAAAGTGCAACCTTCAAGCAGTGTAATAAAAGACAATCGATCTCTTAATCAAGCCATTGAACAGTATTGTTTATGCAAAGGTTTAAGCATCTATCTGTTATCGATATTCTTTTGATAAATATATTAAATATAAGATAAACAAATGTGGAATGTTTTAAGGATACAATTCTAATATGACGTTCTTCAAACGTTTTGAGTACACACCCGTGGTAAAATATGAATATATTGATCTGTCAGCTGATCATCGACGTCATGGGTTGTTTGGGCTGTTTCAATCTTACTCCCACGTCGTTTGCTTTTTATGAATGAATAACCCGAGGTCAGACGGTGAAAATGACGTCATTGAACTATGACGTAAAAATGTTAGCATTCTACGGAAAAAAGCACGAATTTGAAACTGAAACTCGTCAAAACATGAAAACATAATTAAATGGCGTGACCCAACACATTTGTAAGAAGTACAAAAAACAACTAATATGAGGGCAAAAAACACAAAATATCGGTTTAACAGTACTCGCAGTTACTGAATGAAAGTTCAAAAGCCAATTACAACACATTGATAAATCTCGTCATCCGAGACTAAAGTATCAATTAGTACAAATTTAATGGATTTAGTGTAAAAAAACGTCATAAATAGTCTGCGAAACGCATGAACGTGTGCAATGCCAAAATCAAAATATAAGTACATAGTATCGGCAGGATGTAGGACTATATAATTTCATAACTATATAGCAATACTTATTTAGGTATGTTGTAAAATATCAAAAAACAAAATCAATAGTAGTACTGATAAAACAAAAGATCTAACTTCAACATGAAATTAGTATCCATTCAGAATAAGGTGTTTAATTGATAAGTTTACATGGATTGTTTCTAAATAAAAAGGCTTTATAAACAGTATTATCGTAAGGTTGTGATACTCGGTTTGTCATCATAATTCTACGAACTGTTTTCCAAAGTTTTCAGACATGAATGATATATCGATATTGATTAACTGAAAATCTTTTATATAGAATAATAAATGTTGTAGGATTAGTTATATTAAGTGGACAACTATCTACCAAGGTAATATTTAGTCATTTTCAGTCTTTCATTTATTAGCACATACTTGCAACTTCTCGTCCAATCATATTGCTTGAATTTGTCTTCTAATTGTCGTAGTACACACTTTTCCTATGCATGAATGACCACAAGGATAAGATTTCATTGTATCGTAATCAAGATGTTAAAAACAAAAAGTGCCTCTGGCTATTTTGGAACAAGATTTTGTGTCCCAAATTAAAAAAGTTAAGTGTTTGTAATTACTTTTTACATTGATTTTTATATATCCTGCTATTAAAATCTTTGGTTTTAAAAAATATATTTAAAATACAAGTTTCTATCATTTATATATCATGTATATATAAAGAATAAACAATGTGGTAATTAATCATCCATTCAGTAACATTATTATGATTATACACAAAAATGTATGTACTATGAAACCTTGTGAAGGGAAATTCAAGCACTTTCATGATGATGATGATGACAATCTTTTTTTTTACTTTCTTAAGATTTTTCAATTCATGATGAACGGATTCATCCTGAATTGCAAAACCGTTATGCCTGAAGGGAATGTGCCACCAATATCTTTATTCTGATAAAGCTTTTAGTTTTACTTTAAATTATAAAAAAAACCTGCAATCTAATAATTGATCTCTAAATCAGAAGAGCATAAGTTAAGGAACAAAATAAGTTTAAATTATTGATAGGTGACGGAACTCTTTTGCGATATATTTGATTTTTAAAAAATGGCGGGAAAAAGTGACTCGGACTTTTTCCTTATATTTAGCATTGGCATTATTTGGGTTTCAAATTGCAGGGCAAGAAATCTAGAATCTGCTTAAATTTTGATAATGACCCTTTTATGAGCTTTTCAAGTCTTCTATGAAAAGAAAAGTGGGTGGTATGGGGCAAAATATTTTACACTGTATCGTAGGAAAAAACCAAAGGAAATCGAACATCTAACAAAAATTATTTAACCTGACATGAGTACA